GCATTTCAGCCGAACATGCTAAATATGTAAATTTACTCCTCTTGCCATGTGATCATGCTCCAGAATGTTCCTCATCCCGGACAGGCAACCTGACAGGTGATCGTAAGGGCCAGCTGGCTACTTCTGTTGACCAGCTATCTTATGAAATAACCCTGTTCCCCTTAATCCTGGTGGGATATCGACCCCCCGTGTGCTGAGTCATATAGATCGGCGGCTGCACGCGATGACACCCCACGGTGGCGTCTAAACAGTGACGTATCGCGTGCTTTAGTGAGACACGTTCACTGGACTCGCCGCTCTTGTTTACATTATGCGACGCGTACGGCGCGAATATTTCACGCTAACCTTGATGTAGCTCTGGGTAGGACAGCCTGCCAAGAGGATTAATAAGCAGGGCGGTAATCGGTGAGCGCGGTGTGACGGATCACGCGGGTCCTCCCGCCGGCCTCGGGGATCGTCTCTGTGAAGTTCGGCACTGACGGATGCGATCGCATCGAGGTCGAGTCGGACTCTAAGTATTCATGGTGTTTCGTGTGTTTGTTCGGGGGGGGGGGCGATTTCAGAGGCCCCTCTTTCTAGGTGGGGGCCCTGCCATCTCTGTTTCTCAGATACAGCCGGTTAACCTGAGCCCACGTTTGACTGGGGAGCTGGACACCGGTAAAGGCAGGACCGTGGCGGTTTCTGAACATTTCTGTCAAGCTGGAAGCTATGATCCAGCAAAACACCTCAGCAGAGTAAACCAGGCAATGTGGGAGGATTCGGCTCCTCAGCCTTATTAGTTTAAATCATTTTAATTAAATTGTTGAAAAGTAAACTGCTGTAAGGTGTAAACACACACTGGCTGGTTTTTTTCTGACTCACTAATGCTATATCTTTCTGCAGTGTGTCAATGATATTTTAATGGACCCCAAAGCAGCAAAACAAGTGCTGAAAGCCTGGGAGAACATTCCCTGGCTACTGAAAATGTGTCACACCACCATCACAAAAGGCAGGAACACCGGCTGTTTTCCTGACACATCTGCAGTGAAATGGTGATCCGCTGGCTAAACTCTCACGCTAACGAGTCAATTTCCATAAGATGGGGCCATGCGAATCAGTGCTGCAAGGGAGGACCTACCGTACGCTGAAAGGTGATCTGAGTGCGTCTCTATAGCAGGTGTGCTGATACCCCTAACCCCGGCCTAGCGGGCCGCCACGGCAAGTGCAAGTGGGTGGAGCCCCGAACAGGCCGCCGGCCTCCGCAGTTCTCCGCGATCACCCTCCCACGCCGTCCCCGCCGGGCACCAGCCGGCGCTTGCTAACGCACTTTCTCCACGGCAACTGCAAGTCAATAAAAGAAGGTGCCCAAGAACACTGAGCAAGATCAGTGAATGAAAGGCCACGAGAAGACCTCTGATCACACATGGCAGTTACACATCCTGGGTTTACACCAACACAACTGCATAAAGACCCCTGTTCACACACAGTGGTTCTGCAGCTCAGGTCACACCAAGACCAAATGAAGACCCCCGACATGTTTCCAGCTGCTAGTTTGCAGTACTTTCTAGTTACCAGTGGCTGGCTGATTGAGCTTCTACCAGTACCCTTTCCTCTTATGTCAGTCAGTGCAGTGAAGGAAACGTTAACCCAAACTGCCAAGTCCCTCATTTGTCTGTACAATACAAATGCTTTATATGGTATTTTAGAGCTTGCAGACAGCTGGAGGCAAACAGAGATGGACAGGAGTGGGAGAGGAAGCGGAAACGGGCTCCTCGCTGTGACGGGCCCTCGTCTAGAGTCTCTAGCTCCTTTGTAGGTTTACCTTCCAGGGATTGGCTGCCCACCCCCCAACCCCCCAAGAGAGCGAGTCCCCTGTAGCGAGTCCGCCCTGAGGCTCAGAGTCACCGTGACACGGGGATGAGGACACTGGACAGGAAACTTAGGACCCTGATAGAGCCGCTCTCTGTGTACTGTGCTGTGCCACAGGCTGTGAGCCGTACTGCCGGCACCCCAATCAGCACGAGGACCGGCGTGTACCAAGAGAGCCAGATCCATCACAGTGAGGGGCCCCTCCCCCCCCCACACATGCGCCTCAACACACCACCAAGCACTGTGCCAAGAGGCACTTCCAGCGTCTACCAGGTCGCTGGATGTCGTGGTCTCCATGTAGATCAGGGTGTATTCACAGCCGTCATGGTATGCACCACCGTGCATGGTGAAGCCCTCAAGCCGCCCGGCAGGGTGAAGGGCGAAGCCCGCGCCACCTGCCACCGTGAAATCCGCTCCGCCCCTCACGCCGCCCCTAATGCCACCCGGCACAGCGAAGCCCACGCCACTGCCCTCATGCTGTCCCTTGCTGTGAAATCCACGCTGCCCCTCCCATCACCCGGCACGGTAAACCCTGTGCCACCCCTCATCTCGCCTGCCACTGTATCGTCACCCAGTGCCCTGTAATTCGCCGGGACCCGTCCCAGTACCTCTCTGCCAGTTGCCTTCATAATAAACCCGGAATTTCCCAGCCGAGGCCCCCCCTCGCCAGCTCCATTCTGTAGCTTTACATGTTACAGAACTGCCATCGCTGCTGCCTGGTGTTTGAAATCCCTGCTGTTATTCCTGTCCTCGTTGCACACGCTCCCCCTGTATCCTGCAGTAAGCTGTCAGCACTCTCTGGCACCACGCCAGCATGGATCGCACATTCACTCCATTCCTCCTAAAGACCCTGTGGATGTGATTTTCCCCTCCCGACCTCCTACACGTGCAGAGCTCAGATACGGCTCTCCATTACGCTAAAGACCGCAGACTGTACTTATGCATGTGAGTCTCTGGTAGACCGCAGACTGTACTTATGCATGTGAGTCTCTGGTAGACCGCAGAGGTCTCTGGGTACGGACAGCAAACGGGCCGCCTGTCCTCCTCTGGCTTTTTGAACAAAAACACCTCGACACGTACTCAGCAGGAGCCCATGGGGCACAGGGGAGCAGCGCAGGCACACCTCCCATTCCAGAGCTGCACTCCCTGTGAATGCGCCCCCCCAGGGCTCCGGCTTCCTCCCACAGTCAGAAAAACATGATGTTCGAGTGAAATGGTGACTCTCAGCTGCTCTTTCCACAGTCTGTGTGTCTATGTGTGTGTCTGTCTGATGATGATGAGTGTGTGTGATAGTGTATATCTGTATGTGTCTGTGTGTGTCTATTTGTGTGATGATGTGTATCTGTTTGTGTCTGTATATGTCTGTTTCTCTATGTGTGTCTCTGTGTGTGTCTGTGTGTCAATGCTCCAAATCACACTATCGCAAACTGTTTAAGCTGAATATAAACACACGGATCAGACACACTAAATGTCCCACTGATAACAAACATGGCTTCCAGTTTGCTGTCCAGTGTGCTGATATCATGAGTTCAGCTTCCTTTGGAAGTTGCCTTTGGAATTGTGACACCTGTCAGATGCCATGTCTGCTTTCTGTCGGACTGTGACTTTCTGCTGAAGGACCACACTGACATCCTACAGTATTTACTTAGAACTTCCCTTCAGCATGATCCCAGGTTAATGACCAGCATGAACATGACCCAGTCTGGCCTCCCCTGTGCCACCTGCTCTTCCTGTATTTATTTTTTGGCCTCTGGAGTGTGTAAGCGTGCTCAAACCCATGCCTCTGGAGTGTGTGAGCGTGCTCGAACCCATGCCTCTGGAGTGTGTGAGNCTCTGGAGTGTGTGAGCGTGCTCGAACCCATGCCTCTGGAGTGTGTGAGCGTGCTCGAACCCATGCCTCTGGAGTGCGTGAGTGTGCTCGAACCCATGTCTCTGGAGTGCGTGAGCGTACTCGAACCCATGCCTCTGGAGTGCGTGAGCGTGCTCGAACCCATGCCTCTGGAGTATGCGGAGCACACTTGGACCCCCACCACTTCCACAGTGTGTTGTCTCCCCTGTGGCCGAGCCAAGGCAGGCGGGGCCGGATCCCAAACCCCAACCCCCGATCTCTTTTAATAGCTCCGGCACGTGTGGGATTTAGATCTCGAGGAGTTCATCTGGCAGTCAATGCCAGTCGGATCGCGTGACGCCTTCAGTTAATGGAGAGTTTCAGCTCCGGGCTGTGGGCTCGCTCCACTCACTTAATTGTCTCCGGATGAGTGGCTTATTCAGGTCATTGAAGAGGCATTTCATCCGCTCATCCGTCCCCATGTCACACTTACAGGCAGCTGTGATACGTTTAATGAAGCACGTTATCGCTCTGATCTGTAGTCAATGCGCCAGGCGGGTGCCGCGGCGTTTCCGATCCGTCGTGCCCTTAAGGGATCAGCCGAACATCCAGCAACAAGCTATAAATCAGCATCATTTGGTTCCTCAAATCGACTATTAACAATCGGGGTCTGCAAACAGCACCATCGAAACCGGGATGCTTTCTATTGCTGCCGTGGTATCGGCGCTTAGCATGGCTGCGCGGCAGGCACGCCGTCCGCCGATTAACATTTCGGAAACAGGAGCAGTTGTTGCTCTCCTAATAGATTGCTGTAATCTTGTTTAATGCCTTTCGAAGGTGCTCTAACTACCCAGGCAACGCGTCATCCACAACGCTTTGCGTGGCGTCTCTCTCCGCCTTGCCCTGCCAGGCATCTGACTGCTTATGTATATTTCTCTCGGCGATGCTTCCAGTAAATTCCTTTGATTTCTACACTCTACTCTCCTTGGCAAATTTAGGTCACTCGGTGCACGGTTAGCTATGCAGCATGCCCCAGAGAAGCACTCTGCCAAAGTGAAAAAAAAAAAACAAAAGCACTTAAGACTTGGCCTCAAAGCAATCCAAACCCTTGTTATTCTTCCACATCGCTCACTTAGCTCGGGCTCCAGCAGCCAGCCAATCAGGTCCCGGCTGACCAGCCTACTTTCCCAAGTCTGGGAGATGGCACGGTGCCCCATATCGAGGGACGAGACCCAGTTCTCCGCACGCTGCTGATCGAGTTCAAATGCAAACTTTTAGTTTATCTGGTGTTGCATACAGGAGAAAAAGGAAGAAAGTCACTTACGGAAATTGTTAACGGTGACTCGCGCGTGCAGGTTCTCGTAGTGCTGCACGTGCACGCCCAGACCCTCCTCGCGCTCCATCGGCTCAGCTGGGCACGAGCCTGGCTGCCGCATGACGTTTGCGAGAGCTCTGCGGGGCATGGAGAAGGAGCGCGTGCTTAGGGTGTACTTACCCAACGTGTAACGAGCAAGGCTGCATGATCGTTTCATTCTGTAAAGGGTGGTGGTGGGGGTGGTACTGCAATGCTAAACTGTGGATAATGTCAGTGCTCTAATGATCGTGTGAGTTCTGTCCAAAAAAGCAAAGTTGTTCACACTTAATAGTTAAAGAGGTTATTGACGTTTGTCTTGTATCTAACCGTAGGGGTAACTAAAGTTTTAATTATTCTAGTATACATTTTACAGCAAAACAGAAGATTAAAAACGGATTACGACCATCTTGCAAAGCTCGTATAAACAGAAAGATGTTGCAACCTCTTTGGAGAAAATTACAGGCTTTCGCTGTTTCGAAGTTTTCGGGTTATGTTTGTGTCATTACAGTCGGAGAGATAACTCAAAAGAGATAAAACCGGGGAAATCGCCGGAGAAATGGCAACATGCAATTAACAGCGATGCAACGAGGAAAACAATTAGGCTACTATGAAGAAGTGTAACAGACATTGAGACATGCTGTCGCAATGAATAATTACGGGCACGAATTGTAAGCATACATTTAATCCACAACACAGATCACTGCAATTAGATTTTTCTTCAATGATTTCCTTTGTTAAGCGCTTGAGACAGCCTGTTGTTCAGCTGCATGACTGCCAATAACAGTTTCCCCACCTGTGCGTGAAATATCTGCTATAATTGTTTAGCATCGTTTTACACACCAGAAGGGTTTGTTGAAACCAGATGGCGATTCGGGAGAATTTGGTTCAATGTTATTAATTATTGTTGTTTTCTTGTAATTGTTTTAAGGTTTAAGTTTACTGAATTTCATTGACATTTTGCATACAAAACAGAATACAAAACAGTGCGGGGCAATCCTATAAGATAATAGAAATCCATCTCTTTTAAAAGCACGGGCACGTCTGTGATGTGCATATTTTGTGATTATAGCATCGGTACTTCCAGACAGTCTAGATGTGTTTTTGGCAGCTTATAAGAGCTGTCAGTTGCTTAGTTAATTACGCTTAGCCTGGTATTTTAATATTGTGTCTGTAATATTAGCACGTTGAATATTTGAAATTAATTAGTTACTCCAGAAAGTAGGTCTTATAACAGAAGCTCTTTAATTTTCTTGGAAATTAGAGGGTCACCGTTAAATGATTTCCGGCTGACGGCTCAGAGTATCTGTTTGTGGGTTACATCACATTCTACAGTGTAACAGTAGTCACTAATGTTCGAGAGCCAATACCCCCCCCCCCCCCCCCCCCACCCCCC